AGGGACTTTCATTTCCAAGTCATTGCGATTTGGTCAAGGACTCAGTAGAAAAACCTATAGTTAATGAAATATTAGCTTGTCAACCCATTCACTTAATTAAATGTACCAAACTCTATTTTTTTTTTTCTTCTGATAAAGTACTAATTGTTTTTTAAGACTCGTTTAACCGAGAGAGTTATCTAAACGTGCACGCTTGTACTAAATATGTAAACTTGATATATATTCCTTCTGTATTCTAAACTTTAGATCAGTTGATGGGTCGAAATTAGAACCCTTGTAAGTTCGACTTTAGTTTCCCTGCCTGCTTGTTGGTTTGTAGGGTGTGGACACTGTAGAGTGCGGATGCAAGTGTATATTATGTCTTGCTGCCTAATCTGCACCTATATGCATCCTTTATGGATGAGGTTATTGAAGAATCAACTGATTGTTTGTTGTTTGATGATGCTTTTTATTTGTAGCTCTCTTTTCTTGTTGTTTAATGCATGCTATTTGCAAACGAATGAATTTTGTTAATTGCTTTAGTTATATGTTTTGCTTTCTCATGTCAATATGTTGTTATAAAATATTTTAGTATTTTCTTAAAAAATTTACGTCAAGGATGGTGCAGTTTATTCCTTTTTGCACAGAATCCCGTTTATCTCTGTCAAAATACTGGTAATTATAAGAAAAGCTGTAAACGTGATAACGTTCTTGTCCCATGTATATGAGAACAGATATATAAGCAAATAAATCACTAAAACATCTTTTGGCATTCAAAATCCAAAGATATATTTACTTTGATGTCTTGGATTGTTGACCAGAACCCCTCTGTCTTGGATTAATTGTCGATAATTCCCATACCGTTACAAACTGTGGTTTGTGGTCCGAATCATGGATTGTTTACCAGGTCATCCACCATCATTATGGATTTGGTCTGTTAGGTGAGGTTAGAATTATGTACATGCATAATTAAGATACATTTTATTATATAACCAACTAATTAACATGCAAAGCCTGAACAACAAAACTCTTAAAGTGGGCATGCATTCAAACAGCTTCAACTCTTAATTTTTCATAGATGACATAGCAACAGTCACAAGATAATTATATATGTAATCACGTACGTACATACATATAGTTAATATAATGGAGGCAACCTCTCAATTATGGGCAGAAACAACCTTCAACTATCACTTTCTTGATCTAAGATTCATATAGCTGATCGATCTCTCGTAGTGGATAAGGCTTTGTTGGTGTCATTATTGTATACAACTATATTAGTATTTGTAATATCAAACTCGCTATTTATAGGAGTTGAACCTAAAACCAACCACTTAGAAGTAAAAAAAAAATACCGCTCTTTAATCCTCATTTTCTAGTTACAAATTCAATGGAAGGCCTTTTTTTTTAATTTTTTATGGGAAAATCATTCAATACATTTAAATTTTAGCAACAATTATGGATACAAGCAAGAACATTTGAAAGAGAAAACGCCCCAAGAAAGAGGGCCACCAATCTGTTAACTACATTGTAATGTTTGGAAATTGAAAGAAAATCAAGAAGGAAGATGAAGAGAAGACAGAGAGTTTTACAGAGAGATAGATTTAGAGAGAGAAATATACTTTTGTATTCATCGATAGAATGAAGGTTACACAACTATTTTTATAAGGGAGAGCCTAACTACTCTAACCAACTTACTAACTGTATTGCTAACTTGTATACTTAATACTCCCCCTCAATCTCAACTGGGGAAACCCAGTTTGAGATTGGAAAAACATCTACAATCACTGAACACAATGTTGAACCATCTGCAATCTTGCAATCCCACACCAAAGTCTCATGAGCAACTCGTTTGACACACCAAATTCCTTATCGAAAAATCACTTCTCCATCATGTTGACCGACAAACTGGACTCCATCAATCAGCTTTTCAACAGGACATTTGAGAGGCTCATGAGCAGAAGGGGGTTCACCCTTCACAACTTTAGTAGTATCAAGTCTTAGTACACGCTTTCCAAACCCAACCACCAAAACCTCTTGTTTATGACAGTGCCAACAAACTCGTGGATGAACAGAACAGCCTCTTATAAAATTGTAACACACCCTCAGGCCGGTTATAATAACTTCTTGCGGGATTACCCTTCGTGGGATTTACCGTCAACAACTTCATTTAACATTGGCTTCGGCCTTTAAACAGAAAAATAACAAACTATAGTGTGGCATCGGCCTTAACTATAGCACCACGGGATCGCCCTTTGTGGATTTTACCAAAATACAACTACTCTCAATAGTGGCATCGGCCTTCACAATTTCAACAACAGAAAATCAACATCTATGTAGGATTACCCTTCGTGGGATTTACCTACTTACATCACGGAATTACCCTTCGTGGGATTTACCGTTTACAACTTCATCAAACTTCATCGTATAACCGGACTTACTGTAGATTCATGCTAACAATTGAGTTGGTTAGACTCGACATTATAGGCTGTAATAAGGAAAATACTGCACCACTCCTCAGTTAGCTGCTGAACAATCTTCTTAGACATTACATTTCCGAATTTTGACACAAACCATAATCGGAACAACCACAAAATTGTACATACCAGAATGCAAGAATTCACACGCATTTTTCCAAATATTTCAAGAGTTGCAGAAAGATCAAACCCAATAACCTTGCAGACTATCAGTGAAGCAGAGAAAGAATGTCTCAAAAATTCTGAGCTTCGCATTTCGACAAACACTTGGGCTGCACATAGGTCTAAACATTCTGCCATACCAGAGAACAGAGCACATATCAAAATTGAAATTTTATATATATGAACCATGGATGGCGAGAGGTCCGTGAGCTCTGCATCCCCATTCACCCATCAAATCTTTCAAGAAATTAAGAGAGAGAGAAGAAAGATCAAGAAGGCATGCCAATGTACCAGAGATTCATGAAAGGTAAGTTATATATTCATTTCACAGTGGAGTTCCCCGACTCACTGAACCCAGAACAGTGCAAGGCCCTGGAGACCGTCCTCCCCCCCAGGACTTCGACACAACTTACCGACATGGAATTGGATGAATGTGAGGAGACCACGCTGCATGATGTAAACATAGAGGAGGAAATGCGTCGAAAGCAAGCACATGCGCAAGGGGCAACAATGTCTGGGCAAGTTTCTGATTCCGATGAACAAACAGCACCAAGTTCTGCGCAATTGCCAGATTCCAGCAGAGAAGAAGCACAAGATTCTGGGGAAGCAGCACCAAATTCTGAGGAAAGCCCAGATCCCAGCGAAGCAACAAGCACAAGTAAACCCATTGAGAATCAACTTCAATGCATCCGGTTCCGGTGAAGCAAGTGTAGCAGAAGCACCAAAGCTTATGCCAAATCCACCTTCTTGGATAGAGGATTCCGATGAAGAAGGATTGCAGGGTCAACGAGAAGCAGCAAATCCCAATGAACAAGAAACAGATTCCAGTGACTCCGGTGAACCAGAAGTACAGACCTTCTCAATCTACCGGTGGAACCCGGACAACCCGAAGAAGCAGGAGCTCCCGAGATGGGTTCTGGTCCTGAGCGCCGCAGAGAGAGCTGAAAGCAGAGAACCGATTGAAGTGCAGACATTTTCCGGGAAAATTTGGGTTTCTTGGGAAAGTGGAGGAAAATAGAGGGACCAAGTTAGGGTTGCGGTTGTTCTTCGAGAGGGCGAAGAAGCGGGCAGTGTTGCGGAGTTGGATGGGAAGCAAAATTTGCAGTGAAACCCAGATGAAATCAAAGAAAACCTATGCGAAATCTCAGAGAAGTTTACATAGAAAGAAAGGAAGAAAGAGCTCTGGTATTACGAATCAGAAAATACGCGGAAACGAAAGAAAGTAACGAAAAAAGATAGAAGAGGAATCGACCACCAAGATCCATGGCGTGAGCCTTGGTGGCTCTGATACCATGTTAACTACATTGTAATGTTTGGAAATTGAAAGAAAATCAAGAAGGAAGATGAAGAGAAGACAGAGAGTTTTACAGAGAGATAGATTTAGAGAGAGAAATATACTTTTGTATTCATCGATAGAATGAAGGTTACACAACTATTTTTATAAGGGAGAGCCTAACTACTCTAACCAACTTACTAACTGTATTGCTAACTTGTATACTTAATACAATCTCCTCGTCAGATTACAGTTTAAGCATCATTGAATGGAAGGCGTATTTGATGATTTTAAGATTATGTTAACGTGAAACAAAAATACTATCAACTACACGTTCAAACTAAATTTATGTTATATTAAAAAAAAAATATTGCACAAAAAAACAAAAATAATAAACTACGAGCTTGGTGAAAGAATACTTTTTTTAATAGTAAATTCATGAGCAAAAGGGTTTCGGGACATTTTTTTTGCACGCCGTTATGATTTAGTGCTATTTTTTTTTCTTATGGAATATCTGACTCTCACAAATGATAAGTTCGATAAAAAATGCCCATTGTTCTGTTACCCCACCCATCTCAATATTATTTATATGAAAAAATAAAATAAAATAAACATGAATATGCATGGTGAGAATAAATAGTATGAAAAAGTCACTTTCCTTTTCTCGCGAAAATGACAATAATATCTCATTTGTGGGTTGATTTCTGGCCAATTTTGCGCAACTGTTTATACACTTTCAAAGATAAAATAATATTAATTCAATGAAAGTATTGTGAACCAATTAATATCCAATTAATATAATCTCACTTTCCTTTTCTCGCGAAAATGACAATAATATCTCATTTGTGGGTTGATTTCTGGCCAATTTTGCGCAACTGTTTATACTCTTTCAAAGCTAAAATAATATTAATTCAATGAAAGTATTGTGAACCAATTAATATAATCTAAACACAAAGGCAGCAGAAAAAAACAAGAGTATCCAATCAAATAATCTTTTCTTGACCAATACTTTTTTAACGCGTTCTTTCATTTCTATACGCATCATTCACCAATTGCTAAGCAACTTCGCATATATACATATACATCCTGCGTATATATAAACACGCATATATCTATATTTACACCAATTGCAACTTAATTATTAACACATTTCCCTTCACATTCATTAACTTAAAACATTGGTCTATCTCGTTCTCCAATTTAACATGCACATGGACAAGTGGTCTTTCTTAAGCCGCCTAAGGAAGGTTGTGAGGAAGGTAAGCTTCATACTAAACCTCAACGTGAATCGCTGGCGAATTGTTTCGATGATCGGCCCTACTGTTTCTAGCAACCAGCAATTGATGAGCTTCAACGACCACCCAGGGCTGAAAGCGGCGTGTGGCCATGAGACCAGCTCCGAGGAGGACTCGGGGTCTTCTAGGGGACATCTTCAGAGGACAATAAGCTATCCATCGGATCAAGATGATATTGATCAAAGAGCAGAGATGTTCATAGCGAAATTCCGCCGCCAACTTCGGGTGGAGAGACAAATTTCGTTAGAGCTTCGGTATGGCAGAGGAAATAGTTTTGACTTGAAGTCTCCTTGATCACTTTGATTAGTGGTGATGGTGGAGGTAGCCTGTGATTTTTTTGAAGAAGGCCTCCACTGAAATTATGTAATCTTAAAGGGGTTTGTTTTTATTTTTGGTCTTCTTAATTTCCCTTTTTTATTTTGGGGTGAAGGACAAGCAGCATACATTTTTTGATACTTTTATATATGTAAACTTATGCTACTATATTTTTATTCTTTTGAACTTTGGAGAAAATTTCCGAGGCATTTTTAGGGATGATATTTGGGATTATTTTGTACTTGTGGCTGATATCAAGCTTGTCATTACAGTTTTTGTTCATATTTTTGGAGAAATTCGTAAACTTGGATCTAAGGTAGATTACCAAGGTAATTAAATGTTGAAATATCCCATATCGACCGTATCTATGAGAAAAGAAGAGTTTAAATATCTTAACTCCACTCCAACTAATATCAAGGTCTTTTGTGATAAAACCCCACACTTGACGGATTGTGCAGGTGGTAATTAATAAGTTGAGGACAATATTGGTGTTGTTGGAAGTGGGGCCGTCATGTCTCTCTGATAATTCTACATCCTATTAGAGCTAGGGAGCGGGCCCGCACTACCACGTGATGGGTGGGTCCCCTTGGCTTGTGCGATGGGTCCCTTCGTCCCATGTGTAGGGTGAGTCCCCTTGGCTCCATGTGGTTGTCGATGTGTAGACTAATTGAGTCCCCTTGGCTCCATGTGGTTGTCAATGTGTAGACTAATACAGAGGCCTTTTGTGATAAACCCCACACCTGACGGACTGTGCATGTGGGGTATTAGCTTGTTTTCTTGCATTTACATTTGCATTTACATCTGGAAGAATTAAATTGAAGACTTGGAAGATAAGGAATCAGCTACAAAAAAGGAATATCATCCAAATTACCTTATCTTATCCAAACCTTATCCAACCTTATCTTATCTTATCCTATCCTAATCTTTTCCTACCTTAATTCCAGCTTCAAAGAGGACTCCTTTTCACATTGAATCACCTAAATATCAGGTTCTAGAAGCCCTATTTTCGTGTCCTAAGTTTATGTCACATGTAACCTTTCTAGAAGTTCTAGAATCTTCCACAAGGACCATTCCTTGTCCTCCTTGGAATCTGATTGAATGTGACCTTGTTCTTTGGTGATTTGGAGTCCTAATTCCTTTCCTTTTCAGCCCAATTTCGTACCTTCCCTTCACCCTATAAATACATGATGCCACAACACTCATAAACCACCACCCTCTACCCCAAATTCACACCACACCATCCACCACACCTCAAGAGCCTAAATTCACACAAATCCCCATCGTGCGCAGCAAGGAAGGAAGGAGGAGCCACCTGGAGTGTTTCTAGGTGTATTCTATCTTTGTTTTTAATGTTTAAGTTTAAATATCTTTGTTTTACGAACATGAGAAGATAAACTTGTTTTAGCTAGAGGAGACTTTGAAACCATGATTATATTTGCAATATGAATTGATTACTTTCAGTCATGATTTCATAAATTGTGAATACAATTTACTTAACTGTTTGATTAAGAACTTATTCTTGTGTGTTGATTAAGAGGGCCTGCTTAGTTTGCATGTATGAATTTGATGCTAGAATATAAGGGAGTTTCACCTAATCGTTATGAACTTATATTCATAAGTAGTGGAGGTTGCTAGTCACAATCGTGTTAAGTAAATTCCTGGCAGGAGTATCATGTTGTTCATAGTTACGAATGCCTTGTCAATGCTTATGATTTTCACAAAACTTAAGGAAAATCTGAGGGTTAATTAGTGTTGTTCACGGTTAATCTGGAGTGTTAAGGTTCATGGTTTATTGGAAAAGCAACTGGAAATCAATTTGTATGCAAGTGTGTCATGTGTGAAGAAGGACCCTCTAGCTAGCTTGTCACCCATATTTTTCCCTAATTTCGTCCAAAGTTATTTAAGTCTTTAAATCTATTTGTTTTTACCTTAATTTCGTCCAAATCAATCTCCCCTTTAATTAAGTGTGTTAGATTAGTTTGAAACGTAATCTGTCCAATTTAGTGTTTTGAGTCTTAATAGTCTAAAATTCGTCCAAATAACTTTTTAGAGTCTGTTTCGAGTCAATTTAACTTAGTTTGTGTGTTTTGAGTCTTTTTAGTTTGTTTTGAGTCATATAAGTCTAGTTAAGTGTTTTTAAGTTTTGTTTTGTGTTTTTAAGTTAGTTTAGAGTAGATTGGCATCCCTTCAAATCCCCCGCCTAAAACGATCCCTACTTTCATATACTACAATCACAGGGTTTTAATTTGAGTGTTAGAATATTTCACACCAAATTTTGGCACCGTTGCCGGGGATTAGTAAAATTGCCAATCCCTCTGTTTGTTTGTTTATTTTTCTTTTGATATTTGATTTAGTTTTATTTCTTTGATTTCAGGTACTAGAAAAGCAAGACATGGCAATTGCTAATCTTCAAGCTCAAATAGCGAATCTTACTTCTCTGTTGTCACAGTATGCCGAAGGGTCCACAATGCAAAGTGTCCCTACATTTGGTGCTTCTTATAGGCAAAAATATCAAGGAAATCAATGTCCACAAAGAGATTGGAGTGATCATTCAAACTCTATGTGGTGGGAATCTCAACAAGTTCAACACCAAGGATATTGGCAGCTGTATGAGGAGTTCTATTCAATGCCTATGCAGCCATCACAACCTCATATACAATGTGCCCAACCAAACTCAGGTTCGTCAATAGATTATGATCAAATTCTTGATGAATTAATTTCTTTGGTGCAGGGCTCACAAAACCAAGCCAAGGAGGCTCAACAAGGAGAATATTGGCAGCCATATGAGGAGTTCTATACAATGCCTATGCTGCCACCACAGCCTCCCCCACAACAATACCAACCAAATTCAGGTTCGTCATTGGATTATGATAAAATTCTTCCAATACTAACTTCTTTGGCACATGAAGTACAAAATCAAACCACGAAATTACAAAATCAAGCCCAAGTGATGAGCCAATTGAAGAATCAAATGGGAGAGATCGCGGAATTCATCGGGCAAATGCAAGAACAAAGTGAACTATCTGACTCAACTGTTGAAATTGTTGAAGCTATCACCTTGGAAAGTGGCATGGAGGTTGGAGATGAACCCAAGACATCCAAACCAAGCCAAAAGATGAATGCACAGCTGCTGCTCGATCCACAGCAAGGGAAGAACCACCCTTGCCGCAGCCACATATGCCCTCTATGCCGTCCACTACAACAAAGGTAAGCCCAAAGTCAATTTGTCTTGACCCCGTTCCACCAAATGTCCCTATTCCTTGCAGGATTATGCAATCCAAGGAAGAAGAGGGTGAGAAAGGCATCTTCGAAACCTTCCCAAAGAATCAAGAGCAAGATGTGGCTGGGGAATGTCTAGAATTCATTAAAGAGGATATACTTGAGACACCAATTCCCAAAGAAGTTGGATTTTATGACACGGCACAAGTCATAACTCTCAAAACACCAAATCTACCTGAATTTTCTAGTCCTACAACTGTCGAAGGGGTATTTATTCTTGAGTTCATGTCGGAGCACACAGATAAGCCACCTCCCCTAATTTCAATTTCGTTTTATACTAATATGTTGTTAATGATTCAGGCACCCACTCTAGAATTTAAACCATTACCGGATCATTTCAAGTATCACCTCCGATTCAAAGATCAATTCCTTGCCATGGGACCTAGGGGAGCTTAAAAGGAGGTATCGTCCGGCTAGAAGACGTTAAAGCAATCGCTTCTTGGGAGGCAACCCATGCATTCAAATAAAGAAGACCTAGGAATCTCCAACACTCCACAACCAGATTTGTGTTCCTAAACCCTACTCTTTATTGCTTTTACTTTGCCATTATTGTCATGTGTGTTAGTTGTGTTATTTGTTTGTTTGTTTGTTTGTAAGTCTTTGTTTGAAACATTGAGGACAATGTTTGATTTAAATGTTTTTGGGTGGGGGGGGGGGTGGTAAACAAAGTGTTTTTGATGAAAATTCGTTGGATTTTATCACCTATCACTTCTAAAGTTATTTCTCACTGTTTTTAAGTGTTTTAGTGTGTTTTGAAGTGTTTTTATGTGTCTTAAACAGAAAATCCAAAAATTTGAAAAAAAATCGAAAAATAGTGTTTAAAAAAACCCAACAATAGTTCTTTTTGTGTGTTTGTTTATGTCTTAGGGTACCTTCCAACACAATGATGAGGATTTGGTTTTTAATTGCATGACTGTTAAAGAAAGTTACAAACATGGATGGAAGTTTGATATGCTCTTTGGTTTATGCTTAGTTGTAGTTGTCGTTTACAAATTCACATGTAATCACAAAAAGGAAAAAAAATCAGTTTTTGTAACATGCTTGAAGCAAAGAACTCAAACTAACGCTACAATCTTGAGAGACTTGAGCCTAAACTTTGTTTGGAGAGTTATTAATCTTGATGTTTTTGCTTTCTAAAGTCGTTGCATGATCTCATTATTTCTTTGATTGGTTGCTGCTTAGAATGCGTTTCATCACTATAGTTCCAAATACTCATGCCCGTTTCATTCAAAGCATAAAATTGAGTGCATAACATATAACAAGATGAAGTTGTTTAGTTAAACCAGAGCCAAAAAGCCTTACCCCTTTGCATATGTATTGTAGGTTTAACCCCTTTGAGCATGAGTTAGCCTAATTTTCTTTGTTAACCACATTATCCTTACCTAGCCTAGATTAAGACTATCCATACCCTTGTTCTTAAAGAATAGTGGAGCATGACTTAGAGGGAATTCATTATGAACTACAATTTGCAGAAAAACAAGTGTGGGGGAAGGTTTTTCGTTGGAACCCTATGAGGATGTATGTTTAGTGTACAAAAGAAAGAAATAATTGGGCACGGGAAAGAAAAAAAAAAAAAAAAAAAACGTGCAAAAGAAAGAAAAAAGAAGGAAAAAGTATAGAAAAGAAAGAAACAGAGTTGAGAAATAAGTGAGATTGAACTCACGAGTATTGGTTGTTGAAAAATGGGTCCAAAAGTTTGAATCTGGCCCTATTTGATGTGTCAATCTTCCCTTCGTGTTTAAAGTTGGTTTCTGCATTCCAAAGTGAATTCTAAGTGTTTATTTCATTACTTTGCTTACTATTGCTTTAAGAACTTTTGTTTATCCTTACCTTTCTTTGTTAGCCAATAAGTTAGCCCCGTTACAACCCTTTGACTTCGATCTTGATTGTTATGTGTTTCAATATGTGGAGTTTAAAATTGGTTTGAGCATATGGTATCCCTGGTTCTCGCGTCTAAGTAGTGGCATTCCATTCATGAGATCATATCATATCATATACATGTT